TTACGAAGAATTTGAACTGCCCGCTCACAAGTAACTCAAAGCTCTACGTGAGTCAAATCGCACACTACAACGGTTTCAGCGATCTTCTCAATCGAGCAATGTTCATTTCCCACCATGTGTTGTTCAAACTGTAAGCAATTTGCTATAGCTGAGCCAAAGTGTCAAGATTGATCGAGGTTGCCAGATTTTTATATCGCAGAGACTGTCATGATAACGTTTAGCGCTCAATGTGAATCACGTAGAGCATTGAGTTTTCATGAGCGGGTGGTTTGAATTCACGCATTAAGAATCATTAAATATCTTCGTAAGGTATTGATTTCGGTAATTTTCGTTGTAAGAATCGTGTTTTACGTAAAATTTTGGTTTAGAAACATGTATCAGAATGCTGAAATTCGTACCTTGTCTAGTGGTCCATTGTAACGCTTAAGGTGATTCGACGGTTGACGGTTGTCATTTTTTATGTCAGAGAAACGTGCGATACATCGCATCAATTCGTTCCATAATTTCAGCTCCTTGTCATTTGTTTCGAATTTTGAAATCGCACTTCTATTGTCATGAGACTAAAGAATTCATGTATCTAATTTCACAAAGGAATTCAATGTATTGAAGGCGTGGGTTTTTTAGAGGAAAAATATCGCATTCGACTGCACTTTCGATATTAGTATCTAATACTATATTTTTCTTAGTCTCCTTAGAATTCTTCAGTCTCATAATGACAACAGCAGTGCGATCTCAAAATTCAAAAAAAATGATAAGTACCTTAAATTATGAAACGAATTGATGCGATATATCTTTCGTCGCTCTGGCAAAAAATAGGAACCGTCGAATCACCATAAAAAACGTCAGACTCGATCTTAATCAAAGAAAACTAACTGAAATTTTTCATTGCAATTGGCTGTGATTTATTTAGAGAAAGCGATGAAAATATACAGAGAATTTCAATAGGATCTAATGGTTGGTTATCCTTGAAAACATTAAAAAACATTGAAGACTTTCATCATCGTAATCTGAAAAACGCATTTCCGATTTTTATCAATGCGTAACCGTCAATAGAAAGCGAAACATTAGTCGACGAAAACAAAATGTTTAGTGGAGCAATTTCTGTAGAGTTCCGTTGAATAATCAAAAATGGAGAATCCCACATATAATTTGGTTGAAAAATGAGAATCCCACATATAATTTGAAGACATCTAAGAGCACCACAGGCTGATGTTGCTTGGTTCCTTTCTGCTTAAGGCGGTTCATTTTCTCTTGAATTAAGAATAAAATTTCATAGTCAAGTATGTCACAGCAAGCCAGTTCGAGAGTATTTACGCCTATTTGTCCATTATGGAACCGGGAAAACTTAATTTTCGATTTTTCAAGCTGATTTGACAAATTTGTCCCCTTTCACTGAGATTCATACACCGGTGGGCAACCAAAATAGCTGAGGTAAATCTAAAAAACACCATTAAGGACATTATAAATTCAGTTTTATTGAATAATAATAAATATAATAGCATAAAACAATGTAGAAACAAGAAATAAAACAACAGCATTTTTATAAACAGAATAGAAAAGTTATACCAAAGACACTTACAGGAACAAGAGAAAAACGTATAAGCATTTATAAATATGCAAAACATGAAAGTATAAAACAAATTTAAGGCAAATAGTACAATTGAAAGACGGTGGGATTGGGAGTTCTAAAAATCCCCTTGATAAACCCATCATAATTTATTTTGTCCGGTGGACAGTCAATGATAGATGTTTGATACACTACTGGCCAGAGTCGAAAAACGCGTTTTTACACAGTGATATTTAAGAGTTTTGGATTATGTTCCACTGTTATATAAAAGAAAATGAACAGAAATATCCGTTTAAAATGTTTTGTGAATATATTGGACTGAAAGAAGAAAATTCACTAAAAACCGTGACCTACTTGATTTTCTTCGAAATGGACGTATTTATGGTAAAAGGAAGTATGTACATAGGGTTTTTGTGCAACATAGTTCCTTTTAGCATAAATACGGCCAAATATAATAAATCATAAGGAAAAACTGGAAACGTTGCGATGGAAAATATGTATTTTTTTTACTCAAGTCATTAATATACTTTTCTGTAAGCAGATATTGGCGCGTTGGAGTTCAGGTTACTCTAGAGCTAGTATCAGACGCTTTCAACAGTCACTTCAAAGAAAGAAGAACAAAACAATTATACAAGCCAGTGCCAGTAAACAATTACAGTACAATGAATCATTGACACATAATAATATGAATCAAGAGAATTTGTCGTAGGAAAAATTTAGCAGAAGTAATAAAAACATATTTTTCAAAGAGGGTAAATCACAAGGGTTTATGACTATGAAAAATACGCCGAACGATAGAGAAAAAATCTTTGGATTTGAGCGTACCTTTCAAATTGATAAAAGTGTTAACAAGGAGGCTAAACCTCAAAAATTCTGTAACAATATTATAAATTAAACAAACGACCTACTTGATAAAATTATAAACGAATCACCGAATATTCAGGAGTATATTCGTATAAAAATTGGTGGAAAAAGGTTCGAGTAATTCTGAATATTCATCAGGTGGTATAAAACTTGACGAGTTTTAACCTTGACTAGAAATCAGGCCTCTGTGCCCATTTTCCACTGAAATAATATAATAACTTATACTATTATCACATCAAAGCTCAATTTAACAATAAAGATTACATGAATAATGAAAAAATATGAACAAGGATTCATAAATTTAATCTGAGAGAAGACCATATCGGGAAATTTAAAAATGTTTTGTAGATGCGGAGGTGTGGGAGAATCAGTGTTGATATAATTCTCATAAATGCAATAATATATACCGCAAAGTAGCAAATTAAGTTTACAGCAGGCGTTTTGTATGAGTGAATTCTGCCTTTTTTTTTTATTTTCTTTAAAATCAATTTTACACCGCAATTGAATTCATGAGTTTTCCAGTGTTATTTTTATCAACGCAGACATCACATTTTACAATTTCTCAAGGGATCTTTTCATATGTACAGTTTATCACAGTGAGAATTAAAATTTACAGGATTTGGTAACTAATCACATAATGTTATGTACATTTATATGCATGATAATCGGTGATTTTGTAGCAGTTGAGGAGAATTTTAGGCTCTAGTTGAGGGAAGATTCCCGGTCAAACACGAAATATGCCTCCCTGTAAAAGGACCATTAAATGGATTTCTAAGGCACAATTTTAGAATCAATGACTTTAAATAAGTTTGTAATAATCTACACGAAATGATAAATATTCAAACCTGTCCCACAGCAAGGCAAGAGAGAACGCTTATCGTGAAAAATTCATTACTTGCATACTTGGCTTTGAACATATACTATTTCATCCGGATTGTGAATTCAATGTTCCGTGTCTACTGATCCTTTTTAGTGGAAAGGATTTAGAGATTTACGCCGATCTGATGATGGTCTGGGAAAAAGAGTGATTTTTTCACGTAGCAAGTCCCCCTAAATTTAACCTTAGAGCTGTGGTTGATTTTATTTCATTAGATGTTTTGATTATTGTCAAATATTACCCAATTTATAATGAACAGAGACTTATTTTGAAAATCAAAACTTTACAAAGAAAAAAAAAACGTATTATCATATTTTTGCTAACGTAGTTTTCGTAAGCTGTCAGCAATTGCCTGAAATTCACACGTGGTGTGCGTGCTAACTCGTCATATTGCACCGGTACATGACCTAGTAAAGGTGGCATCGAAAAATATTCGGCTCGGAGTGCCTTCAAAGCCTGGTGATACTCTCCGCTTTGCCAGGCAGTTAGTTTAGTTGCCTATCCGGACCAAAGCCAATTAAAGTCCCTGATTTCACTTCACGCACTCGCAAGTCTGCTAGTTAGAGGTAAACGGTGTATGTTTGCATGCCACGCATAATGATATGCACTTTCTTTTTCATTTCTTTACTTCTGAATTTTTACATTTTCAGTGTATTTTTCGCGAAGTGTATTTATTCAACGCAAGTAGATTGCAATTTGTTGGCAATTCCTAATTGCATGAGACAGGACATAGGCATTACTGTATCATTTTTGGCTTCCATATCCGTACAAAAACATAAATCTAATGAGGAATATATTGCCAAAAAAATGAAAATAAAGAATCATACATCACAGTTATACTGATTCCGACCCTATGGCTTATCGCTCAAGATATTTCAATGCAAATCGAACTCTCTACACCACACATCTAAACGACTTTGGCGACGCGTAGATTTTTCTTTTTTCTTTCTTTTTAATTAAAAAAAGAAAAATTTAAATTATCCACACCGGCAAAAAATATGAACGCATCCCAAAAATAGAGATCAAAACTTGAAATAAAGAACTATGTTCGATGCTGAGCTACACTCTCCTGAAATTAAACCCCTTTAAGCAGGACCATCTTCACTCAACCTAAGAGGGGATGAGATCATTCCAAGGAAAAACTACTCTAAGGCTAGAGGTCCTAGAACGGTATCGCCTAGACTTTGAATAAGCACTAGCCCTGGAGTCGCAGGACTGGGCACTAATTCTGACATGACTAGTAGTAGTGCCTATTCAAAATTTAGGTTAAGCCAGCTAACATATTGACGGTGCAAAATCTCTGCTCCATTTTTATTTTTTAAAGGAGAACAAATTATGAGTTCTCACAGAAATTCCTTCGAGCAGAGGAGAAAAACTACTGAAGTTTTTAGGAGTTGATTTTGAATAGTTTTCCATATAGTGTCGCGAACTGAGATACATGGTTTGGGAGCATCACCGTCGATATGGACACTAAACCGTCTTTACGTATACTGCCGTCGTGAGTAAAAACTCCGCATGAGCATTCGAAGGTTGCCAAATTTCCTCCCAGAAAATATTTATTTTTAAGGAAAGTTATAAAGATTTTTTCTCGCAATGTTCAGAATTTTTAGATTTAATTACGACCGAAATCCCCTAAAAAATCGGAGGAAGAATACGCGCAAATTTTCAGGAAAATTTATGATTTTTTTGAAATTTGGCAACACCTGATGGCTCATACGGCGTTCTTACTCAGCAAGGCAGAACAAACCATCGGTTTCATAAAAAAACACCTTAAAATCAATCACACTTGTGGTGCGCTCAACACAACTTGCTCCTGCATAGGCACGAACGGCAGCTTGGGATTACAGATAAAAATTGGAGTTTGATTGGGCTTCTCATCAACTTTCTGAACCTCACCCTTCTTCTTCTTGAAAATCTCCTCGATCTCATGGAGCTCTTTATCCTTGGTCTCGGGGAGATAGACCTTCCCGAACACGATGGCGACCAGCGAGAAAAGGCCATAGACCAAAAATATGCTATAGATGTTCATGACGGTGCTTATGGCCGGGAAGATCTTGACGTGGAGGAAGATGAGAGCGTAGCCGACGGATGAGATGAGGCCGCCCATGATGCCGCGGTAGGCGAGCGGGTAGAGCTCGCCGATCATGATCCAGGGGAGTTGGAGGGTCCCGAACATGCTGAAGCTGATGTTGATGAGCAGGCACATCTCCGGGAACCACGGGACCAGCCGAGCTGTCGCGTCGTCACTCGCGATGTTCCCGTAGGCGAACAGACTCAGCATCGAGAAGAACATCCCGAAACTGGAGAGGATCACCAATCGCTTCCGGCTGATCACCTGTAACGTAAAACAAAATAAATTTTATTCTTGTCCAAGCACATAAACTGTCTTAAGGGTACGTCCATGGGCGGGAGTAGGGGCTTTTTGTTAGGGGCAGAGGGGGTATCGCATCAAAGGAGGTTCAGAAAGACAATTCACCGGGGAGAACTCCCTCAGCTGTATGGAGTGGTTGAGGGGCTTCCTAAGCTGTAAAATGTGAAAATTTTCAAATTTATTACAGGGTCCGCTCTGTAATATATTTAGGAATTGGAAAAACTGAATAGACTCAGGAGCAATTTTGAGCTGTCTTCACGGATAATTGGACGTATTTCTATCAAACGGAACTAAGCGCCAATTTGTGTTCCTTTTGAGGAATTTAGAATCCCGGATAGCGCGTTCTGTCAAACGGACCTAAGCGCCATGGAAAAGCATTGCGAGTATAGGACGGAATAAGACGGACGCCCGATTCCGCAGCCAATCCAAGCCCCCCTCTACCTTCCTCGCCCTATGGCGCTTAGGTCCGTTTGATAGAAATACGTCCAATTGATGTTAAATGTTTATTTTTTACAGGGGTTATGATTTTCTCTTGAAATTTTCAGATAATTTAGATCTGACTGCGAGTAAAATTCTGAGTGAAATTGAAGGAAAAATAATAATAGATTTCCCCGGAAATTCGTATTTTAACAGGGAATTCGGCAACTTCTAAAAGCTCATACGACGTTCTTCCTTAGCAAGGCATATACAATGGCCCATATACCCTACATTTTTCCCCAGTCATACAGGGTTGCCACAGGAATTAAAAATTGAATTTTCCTCACACATTTTGATAAAATTAAGTGACGATTGGAGGGAGTTAAATAGAAAGGAACCAAGCCACATCGGGATTGAACCGAGAAAAAGAGGTTTAAAGTTTGGCTTCTGCATAAGACTCAATGTAAAAGATAAACTTCAAGTTCAATTTCTGCAAAATTTGCTCCAACAAAAACTTTGAATTTTTGGCGATAGATAGTAGAGCAGCGGTTGAGTTCAAAAAAATTCATGACTCAATTTTTCCCAAAATGTGGGTTGGTCCCTTTCTACTTAACTCAGTCCAATTAAAGGTAATAATATATATATTATTCTACCTCTCCTTCTCTATTGCTAATGATTAATATATATATTATTCTACCTCTCCTTCTCTATTGCTAATTGCATACTAGATAACAATCAGCATAATCTGAATATCGGCGAGGCATTCCCCCTAAACCAAGAAAATGCTGAGGAAAAAAAGTTAAATTTACTCCAATAGGCAAAATTTGCAAAAGTTTTCATGCACAACTTGTTGTTTGAAATGTCAAACCCATTCTCAATAGCAATCAATGGTGACTTGACAATTTCATCATCCGCGCGTCAATTACCCTAAAATTTCTAGGTTTTCCCTGACTTTTAAATATTCCCCGAAATTTCCTGATTTCCACGGTTTTTCCCGACCGTGGCAACCCTGACCGTATATTAAGAACTCATAAGTACCTGGATGAACGCGGATCCGATGATACACGTTAAGAGCCGGACAACGGACACGATGATCGAATCGACAAAGGGGTTGAGAACAGACTGGATCTCCTGGAAGACAGTCACGGAGTAGAAGAGCATGATGTAGATCCCGGAGCCCTGCTGGAGGATAAAGAACGCCACCAGGATAACAGTCGGCTTCCAGACGGTGGCCTTGCGGAGGATACTGAGGATGGTCCTCTGCTTCCTTGTGACCTGGGACTCGAGGACGGCGTGGCTGACGATGTCGTTGAGTTCCTTCTTGGCGACGAGTTCGTTCCTCCGGAGCCAGACGAGGGAGCGGAGGGCGTCCGGGAGGCGCTGCCGGGAGACGAGCCAGGAGGGCGTCTCGGGCATGAAGCAGATGGAGAGGGCGTTGAGGGCGCAAGTGGCGGCGCAGATCCACGCCACCGTCTTCCAGTCGGCGACGTAGCCCAGGAAGTAGACGGTGAGCACCCCGAAGGAGGTCCCGGTCGGCCCGAACGAGGAGTAGAGCCCCCGCTCGTGGGTCGTGCTGATCTCAGAGATGTAGACGTAGGCCGCGCTCGCCATACCTGGACAGAAAATGGGGGGTTTGTTATATTGAGGGTGCAATAAGTGGAATATGGGTCATGATCCACCAGAGATCTCGAGGGATCTAGAGTCCCTTTATACCCAGAGTTAAGACAACTCGAATATCAGCTGACTGGCAGCCGGCCTTGGCTGGCCATGGAGGCCGAAACGAGTGCACCCAAACGAACGATATTGAGGGATAAGGATCAGGAATCCTGAGATGTCTGTCACACAAAAACAACAACATCAACAAATTGATCAATTAAAAAGAGAATGAGTTTGGTTTGTAAATAATTTCTTAATCTATTTTCATTTTGGACCGATGGTAATAACAACTTACTCTTGATAAACCACAATTACGTAATATTTTCATTATTCTTGTTCACATTCGAGGTACCGCCATCTTGGTGCACTCGTTTCGGCCTCCATGAGCGAGAACAAATCAGAATTGGATTTTTTTTAGGCCACTTCCAGCCCAACCAAAAGTGAGTTGTCTTAACTCTGGGTATAAAGGGACTCTAGAGGGATCAATGGATCTAGAGGCTCATCTGGTACACGGAGAAAAAAACCTCGTGCGTGGGACCCGAAATTTAGGTCATATGGATCTCTGAAGTTTTCAGATTGAACATCTGAACACTTTAGATCTAGCTGTCGAGGTTCGGATCACACATCGTCACCTTCCAGGCAAAGTATCACAAGCGCCATGCGACGTTTAAAAATTTCCGCCGCCATTTTATTTTTTTACACAGTAATTGTTCAACGAAGCTGTCCGAAAATTTCACTGAATTTTCTTTGTGCTGCCGATAAAATTTAGTGAAATTTCCAAACAGATTCAACCAACAATTTCTCAGTAAAGAAATAAAATGGCGGCGGAAATTTTTAAACGTCGCATGGCGCTTGTGATACTTTGCCTGGAAGGTGACGACATCTGAAACTTTAGTCCTTACATCTGAAGTACTTCAGATGTGAGAACCGAAGTTTTTCGGATGTGAGAACCGAAGTTCTTCGGATGTGAGAACCGAAGTTTTTCGGATGTGAAAACCGAAGTACTTCAGATGTAAGAACTGAAGTTTCAGATGTGTGATCCGAACCTCGACAGCTCGATCTAAAGTGTTCAGATGCTTAATCCGAAAACTTCAGAGATCCATATGACCTAAACTTCGGGTCCCACGCACGAAGTTTTTTTCTCCGTGTATGGTCAAGTTGAAAGGATGACTGCGGGGAGGCTACGAAAGACTGGGAGGAGACGAAGAGGGCGAATTCTAAAAGAGTGGCAGCAATATTGCAGCAATCAGCAATCGCCAGCGATTTGCGGGCGACTTACATGCTCTTTCAAAAAATCGGACGTATTTCTACGAAACAGAACTATGTGTCGGTGGGAAAGATGGGGTATGCTCGTTCAAATCACGATTTCGAATTGAAGCGCCTTCATTTTTCCATGACACTCTACGCTTTATCTTGCAGTAGGTTTAGTTGCCTCAAGCTCACGGAAAGGTGCCTTTTGCTACCGCGTTTTTACGGAGGAAAAGGCGCCTATTTCAATTCAAGGCAAAATAATTTGTATTCTCTTCTCCTTCCTTCATCTTCAAATTCTATGCGTTTTTTTTATCACTGGTGGTGTGAAAAAACCCTGCAATTACTAACTTTCCGATACACTCAGTAACTCTTATGAAGCGACGATTTCCATACAAAACAACATACGTGTGTGTTTCAACAATGCAACATTTCCACTCGCAAATCGTATTTTAACTAAGAAACTGCAGGACATTTCTAACTGAATATTGGAAATCGAGAAGTTTGAACTTACTCCTACCTTGATAATCCGAATCATGAATCTCGTGTTTTAAAATTTTATTTTCAGCGTGTGTTTTACTTGAGAATGGGCGTGCGATTGGTTCGAAACGTGAGAGTTAAGTACCTTGCCATATATTGGCCATTTTTAGCGTATTTCTCTCGCATTTTATCGTTGAATCGCGCTACAACGTCATGTTTCTCTTATCAATCTTGAAAGGTAAAGTATTCTCGAGTAAATTAACATAGCCGAAAATTAATCTTCGAAAGAAGGTGTGATAAAATGAACTTTACAACTTTAATGATCACTTTCCGCGACGATCGTATCGAACTTTAAGAGTTTTGCACTCTGATAAATCCGAGACTCCACAGGTCCAAAGGCTAAAATTGAAGCATTCAACTTTGACAAGTTTCAGAATACTCTCAAGCCCACTTGAGCCAGCTTATCGTCGAGGGCCTCAATCACGTTGCTCGATGACAGTCGGAGACTCGAGTTCGACTGTAAAGTGATTTTAAAGCCAGACTGTGCTGGATTCCCTTTCTTCTCCCATTTATTCTCAGAGCTTTTTTTTTCAAAGTTGAGACTTGAAAAATACTCTCTTCTATCGCAAGTTGTAAAGTTATCTTTCTTTGAATTAAACGAAACACAATTCAAAAGTTTATGGATAGGAACAGGCAGAAAAGAAGCATCAGAAAAGAGTTCTGGAAAAAAATGACTTAGTTTTGTGCTTGACTACTTACACGTTTTCTCTTGGAAAAAATTCAAAGTTAAGAAAAAAAATGGAATTTAAAAAGAGACGTTGGACCAAATCACCAACATTGAGTCTTATGGAGGAAAAAACTTAAAACCTCTTTTTTTGGGTGTGACTTTGATGCAACTTGCGGGAAAGGAGACCTTAATCCAAATAAGTTGAAACATCCAGTGAGCTGTTTGCCGGGTTGCTTTAAAAAAATCGGATTCTGAGATCTCTACGGTCAACTTTTCCAAAAGTCCAAAGAAAATATTAGCGAGGAATGAATCCAATTTTTGCCAAAAAGAAGGATTGAAGTAGCATGCAGATTATAGCATTTTGAATATCTCTGTCTCTAAATAATCATTTTTAAACTGCAAGCTTCAAGCCATTAAACTCTTGTTTATTTTAAAATGTTTGGGTGTTTTTTGCCCAAAAAAGCTCAGTGCCTTCCTTTTCTATTCGTAAAATGTATCCTCATGCGTAACAAACTCCTTTTTCTATGGTGTCGATTGTTCAAATTTAGGTATTTGATGACTAAGGTCCCTTTTCCTGTGTTCGGTCTTTTGTCCTGAGAATTTATTCATGCATAGTTTAACACTCACCCATTCCCAAGCCAGATAAAAGCCGGCCCACGTAGAGCATTGCGAGGGATGTGCTCATTGCTATGATCAACCACCCGAAGAAAAATGGAATACAGGCGCCGATCAAAGTGTACTTCCTTCCTGCAAACTGCATGATGACACCGGCAGCCATGGCGCCCACGGGATTCAGGATGACTCCGAGACTGGCTGAAAAATAAACAGAATCAACTCCAATTAAAACTTTCTTAAACCCAGAATAAAAATAAAAAAATGACGGATATATTCTGCCATGCTAAGGAAAAACGCCGCATGAACATTCAAGAGTTGCCAAATTTCCTTTGCTAAAATGTTTGTTTTTGAGAAGAGCTATGAAATTTCCTCTTAAAAGTTTCAGACGATATGGATCTAATGGCAAAGAAAATTCTCTGAAAAATTGAACGGAAAATATGCATAATTTTCCCTGAAAATTCGCATTTGATTAAAGGACATTTAGCATTTGACAAAGGTTCATATGACATTTTTCCTTAGCACGGCAGTATTGTCAATCCTTCTGCTGCAATATCTTACAAAAAATTGGCTCCTGAGCCGAGAGGTCACCTAGATCAGTAGTCGTTTTCCTCGTGATAGAACGTGACTACATTTCAAAGTTGGCAAATTTCCCCTCGCAAATAGCGTTTTTACCAGGGGAATCTTGGGCATTTCTGACTGAAAATTTCACTAATTATCCTTCTAATCTGATTCGAAAATCAGAAAAATTTTGGACAGAAATTGCGCAGGTGCAGTCCTGTGAAAAATTGAACTGTTTGAGTCAAGTATGCAACCTTGGGATGGAGTCACGATCTTTCCTCGACGGGAACGACGGGCAATGAAGATGCCAACTTTTAAAAAATAATACAACTATTCGTGCTTTATAGCTAGCCATGTTGCCTATGCACAAAAAGAAGGCGTTCTGAACTTCCTTGGCTACCCACTAACACCTTCATGCAGGGAAGTAATTTTGAACAAAGAACATTTAACTCAGAATCCTCCGAAGAGGCTGAGCCTCCAACAAACTAAGCTTATAGAGAGTGAACTGATGTATGTTTTCCCGATCCAAATACCTGGAATATTTTCATAATCCCGTCATGCACTCCTAAATTAAAACATTTTACTTTCCCAGCGCAGCGGCTTGATGCGGTCGGGGGTCGGCTTTTACTGAAGAAAATGGAGGTTAATTAACCCGGGGGCCTCAAGTGCAGTCCGATATACGAAAATGCTGAGCCATGGTGACATGCCCAGGAAAAACCACGTATCTCCGTAGGAGTTTTATCGACGTTACGCGGTTCTTGCTGAGAAAAGCAGCATGCTGCTCGAGTCATAAGCCTCGCTCCGCCGCACAATGGGGTGAAGCGATGGGAAAAGGGCCTTAAGAAACGATTAAAAATGCGGTCTTTTGTTTTTGTTATTACGAAATTTCTAGGTTTAAGAATGGTTCTCGTGGCTTTTTGATGGAAAATTGCTGCAAGAGGCACCCATTAAAAGTTGTAATGTGACCTAATCAACATCAAAAGTTCAAATTTTAGTCTCAGTCCAACCCCTACCAATGACGCGCTCCATTGTGCGCCTAGTCCCTCGAGAATGTGAAGCCACTGTTTTCGATATTGGCGTAATTATCCCAGATTTTGAAGATAGATAAGCGGAAGCGGTGGAGACGTTTAAGAATGAACGAGAAAGCCATGACGGAGCATGTTCTGAATGATTGAAACTTTTTGACAGGGGGTCGTTAATAATACGCTGCTATACGGGGCAAAATGGGTTGAGGTAAAAGTGCCTTTCCCTGTGAGCCCATCAGAGGTGTTTCACTCCAAATTTTAATTTTTTTTAATTTTTTTTTTTCGGAGCTAACCGGAGATTCAACCTTCTGTGACTCGTGCGGAGATATTTTGAGAATCCGCGACCAGCAAAGAAAATATGAATTATTTTTTTTTCGTTTCTAGGATTACAAAAATCAAATCTCGTCCACAAGGAAATAAGCTTCAAGTGTAAACCTACGGGAATAGGATACAGAGTTAGTGAACTGATAATAAAACATTATCTTGTTCAAGTAAATTTTTCTTCAGTCGTGCTTGTTTTTATTTTACTTTATACATTTACTTTAGGCTACTTGTGAAGATATATTACGTAAGCTTTAGCACGACAAATTTTAGGTCAAAATATTATCTCAGGAAAATTTGTTTTCAGTTATGTCCGTACTTTTCCCATAATAGGTACATATAGGTACATAATAGGTACAGTGACCTATCTGTAAAAAAACCCCCGAATAAATGAAAACTGTCACGATCCCCGCGAACATTCTCAAGAATACAATCTAGCAAGGGACGAAGATGCAAAGAGGCTCTCATTAGGTCATGCAACTTTGTAAAAGGGATCACGTCGACAACGGCGCTTCCGGGCGGGCGCCCCTCCCTTTGCGCGGCTATTATCCCATGCTTCGCGATCCCGTTTTTCAGGCGCGTCGCCCGCCGGGGATGCGCGGAAGGGCGCGGGGCGGGCGGCTCGGAAAGTTCGGCTCTTCTTTGATTTCGTGTGACGTCGGCGGTGAACCCGTGACGTCAAGTCCGAGGCCCCGCCCCCCGGATGACGTCACCATTCCCATTCATGAGTTATTATTCGGGGGCACTCGATACGGCGCGGCGTTGTGCCGTGGAGAGGGTGGAGTGGGGGGACGGAGGGGGTGGCCGGGGTGAAGCGACGGCTAAAGCTCACCCTGCGATCATCGCTTCGCGGTTTTGTCTTGGTTGCGGATGAAACGCCCGTACCGACTTCGCTGACTCCTTTTCTCAACTTGTTAGTATTTGCAGAAACTAAAAACGGAACATTGGACAAGGTTTTCGGCGGGATAAAGTAGCTGCTATAGCTCGAAATTGACTACAGTTTGCTATTGGGAACTGCAATTTCTGGCTCATCCGTAAAAACACTTACGCACACAAGGAAACTGATGGTACAAACGTTGTTTCCGACCTGAGCTTGAAATTGCAGTTCCTAATTGCAAAATGTAATCCAAATAACTCGCGGCTGATTTTTTTTACTATAAACTTAGCGCTAACATTGAACTTGCACTAGGCATCTCATAAAGTAGGCGGAGAAAGTAAAAACTTTCGCTATAAGCGTATAAAATCAGTAAAGAAGAATGATTTTGATTTGGGCAGTAGGTTTAAAATATCTCCGCTCTGAGTGAGCCCCTGGTACGAAGTGTATGGGACATTTCTGCAATTTTCAAAACGAACCTAGTTACTTGCACGATCTTAAAATTCAATGAAAAAACACCTCGTAACAAGGCCAGACTGCAAACTAACATTTGTGAAATTTTTTATCGGGAAACAAATGTGTTGTAGACGACACCCAATAAAAAAATATTTCACCTCATTTTGTTTGTCGGAAGGTAAAAGTAGGTTATGGATAATTTCAGTAGTCATGATAATGAGATAATTATGTTTAGCCGTAACTTCTTCATCATTTCTGAGGCGAATATTTTCGGGTCTTCGTGGGCGAATCCCTTAACCGAATATGAAAGTGTCGCAAGTGTCTCTATTTTTACTTTTCGCACAGTCGTCATTTTAAGATAGGAAGAGATGGAAACAGCCTCATTAGTGGGTCAAGTAGAGACAGGTATTTTTTAATGGAAACCATAAATGAGTAATGAGCTACGCCTCTCATTGCGGAAAATCCTGGAGGTTAAATTGAATGTTAAATAATCGATAACTAATCAAAAGGGTGAATTTCCTATGACATAACATATTCGACAATTTATTGTTTGCGTACGTACTACGATTTTTCACTTGAACGTTTGACCTTTATCATTGGCAATAATAGCTTTTCAGATTGTAATTCGTAAAATACAAGCCAGACTACTTGAAAGTCATTCTCTCTTCTGAATGAAAACAAATGCACTGAAGTTCAAGTTCAAGAGAGATAGTCTCTCTCTTCTTTTCTCTCAGAACAATTTCTTGCTTGCTTCCTTCCTTCCTTTAAAGAAAAATGTTTTATTAGTATGACTGTCTACAGGAAATGGACCTTAGTTCATGGAGACTTTCCAGTGTGGCGATTTTTGCCTTGTAGGATCGAAAAATCGAATTTTCAGATTTCTCCCAAGTCTCCTGAAGAATAAATTTCGAAAAGAAAGAATAAAAGGAAAGCGTGAACTTACATGTAAATCAGAGCTCACGTGAAAATTGAGATACGCCCTAACATAAGAGTCTTTACGATACTTGAGAAGAACCAAAACTCATGTTACATTTTCGATTTTCACTCTTAATGAAATTCACCCAATTTGGTCCTTTGGCTCCAAATAAATGAGGATTTTTAATGGCTATTTATTTTATGGTGAGTATTCTTAAGAAGGGTAAACCCGAGTCTTAAAACTTACTTCATGCATCACCATTCTTTATTTATGATCGAAATTGGGTCAACTTTTTGGCTGTCGGCTGTGCGTGTATGTGGGTCAGGAGTCGCCAGGTAGTGTTTCTCATACGTCAATTGCGCAGTAAACGAATGAATCCATACTTGTTGGTTTCAAGACAAAATTTCACTCTCACTCTTTTGAGATTGATTCTCGAATAGCGTAGGTCTATTGATTTTTAGGAGAGAGACATTGGACTGAGATTTTGTGAACTTAAAGTTTCTTAATTTTTCTGATATCTTACAAGATGATCGTCATTAGAAGATTATTGGAAATCAAGCGGTCAGGTTTGCTTTGCATATTCTGGGAAATCAAAGGAAAATTAGTGTTGATGTCTACGATAGTTTAGGAGCCTCTCCTAGCCGCTCCGCGACCTACCCCGCGACAGGCACTATATACAAGCATACACTCACTTTGTGGCAATGAAAAACCTGGTATAGTTCAGAATACAAAAATCCGAAGACAGTTGGCTCATCTTTCGATTCCTACCCAACGATTCCCAAAGCTTCAACATCGATCGATAAATCTCTATAGAATAGCCTTTATTGGTTTTTTTGCTGCTCATCCTCGCCGTAACAAACGACTTTAAAACATTCAATGAAGAGTCGAGATTAATACTTCCTTTCAAAGTTTAAGTTCATGAGCTGAATTTCCAAGAAAATTTAGTTTGAGTAGGTTTATTCCCCAAACTTCCGAAGGGAGTTTTCAACCTCGGCATGGAGAGATGCAGAAGGTTGTCTTAAAATAATCCTTTCGCTTCTTTCATAATCCGCCACTGTCACGTGAAAATAATAAATTCTAATAAAAACTCCGAAATTGCTTTAATTAGGCAGTGCTCCCTACCGCATTTGAAGAAAAATACACCTTTTGCTGTTCTCATTTTGTCCTTTCTATCACGGAGGCACGTACTTCCATTTTAAGGTTGCAAAACTGACGCAAACAATTCAATTTTTAACAAGACGTAGTCTCCCGGACGGAGGGGCGTAACTTCATTCCAGGGTTGTTAAATTGACTAAAACAATTCAATTTCTTGCAAAAGAGTATATAAAAAAATTGCAAAAATTGTCTGATGATTGCATGAAATCTGAGGAATACTCAGCGAAATTTTCAGCAATAAATGCCAAAGCTTGGAAAAATGCAATTTGTGAGGGAAAATCTGGCAACATTGAAATGAAGTTACGCTCTTCAGAAAAATGAATGACGAAGAGTGTGACCGCGCAGTCTCTGTTCAAAATTTTCCCGATTTTCGCATATATTAAGAAGGGAGATAAGTGAAACTTTCAGCCAGAAAAGCCCGACCGCTTCCTAGTGCAAAATTCAATTTGCTTCGGAAATTCTGCAACGTCAAAATTCAGCTTCTTTCGTCTAGGGAACTACATTGCTTGAAGAGCCGGCGTGAAATCTGTGAAACATTAAAATCTGAGAGGAAGCCGTTTGCTTCTGGCCGCAAGCGGAAGTGCGGAAACCACGCATTCCGCGGTCCCCCAGACTCCCCCATCAATGGGTCCCGAGATCTATATTTTTCGTACGGTCCCCACACGGCAGCATCATTCAACGGTTCAACTCAACGGTTCCCGACTTGGCACGAGCCCCAGCTCACAGAAACGCAGCGTTGCAAGCCGCGCTGGCGCCCCCGAGAAGCCACAACAAACACAGAAATCGTGAGTTGGGACAATGTGACGGCCACGCTCGAAAGTGCTATTCTGCTGCGTTAAGGGAAAAACGCCGTATGAACCTTCGTCAGTTGCCAAATTTCCTATGATAAAATACGAATTTTCGGGAAAAAATTGTGAATATTTTCCGCTCAATTTTTCGGAGGCTTTTCCTCGTCTTTAGAACTCTATCATCTGATAATTTCAAGAGGAAATATCTACAGCTCTCCTCAAAAATAAACATTTTATTAAAGAAAATTTGGCAACTATCGAATGCTGATAGGGTGTTTTTCCTTAGCGTGGTGGTATTCGCGATCTATTTGCGTCGGAGGATGTTTTCGCCGTCGACGATCGAGATTGGACGCATCTATTTAACGCGGGCGACGGCGGCGTCGGCGTCGCGACGCGTTATCATTGACCTTTAACGCGGGCCGGCAAAAATTTCGCTGCGTTCCGCTTTCTTCCGCTCCGCCACCCCCGCCTTCCGAAGTTGTTGATCTCCGGAAGCTAAAACGCATGCGGGAAGTTAATGATCGATTATCGATATTTCCCCATTTGAATCTATGGTAGGGAATCGATTTTTAAAGTGTTCGTTGCGAACACCCTGTTTGTCGATAATTTTCCGAGGTTTAAAAGGCAGATCAATAAATATATCACAAAGCACGCCACGCCACTAGCTCCAACGCATGCTGGAAGTAGAGGGAGTTTGGGTCTGGGCTACCAAAAAATGAAATCCTCCTTTAGTGTGATACGAACCCAAGACAATGCGGAATTTCCCTCACGAAACAACGTAACTCCATTTCAATGTTGCCAAATTTCTCCTACAAAATGACATGTGAACCAGGAGAATCTTTGATATTTCTAACTAAAACTTTCGCTGATTTTCCTCAAATTTCATGCAAAAATCAGGAAAATTTTGGATAAAAATTGCTCAGGTACATTCTGGTGAAATAAATTGATTGTTTAATTGTTCATTGTTGAATGAGTTTGGCAACCTTGGAGTGGAGTTACGTTCCTTCGCCCGAGAGACGACAGATGTTGTCTTTATTTCAGTCGTGATTCTTGAAAGTTGGCAACACTGTTTTTTCTATAATCAATGAAAAATATCGATTTTAAGTTCTACCAAGAATTTGTTCCAATTTGTTCCACCAAGAATCTGTTGTTTTACATACATTTAAATGGAGGAAAAACTGGCTGTCAACTTTTAAAAATATAGCCCCTGGTTTATTCGAACTTTTTGCAAAAGCTAAAAATCGAGGGCTAGCGGACACTACCGCCTAACTAACAATTTTCGCAAAAACAACTTTGCCTCATTCTACAGGAAATGCGTAAAGTAAATTTTGAGACACTGCAATGGAGATAGGTGGTTTTGCACGATGGCCAACAATATGATATTTATATATCTCTTATGACGAGTTCAAGAGGACGCGCCGTCGCGCCGTTGCCCATTACTCTCTAATAAATCTGGCAGATGAGGCCATCGTACAGTTATCTCATCAGTTTTCGGTAACCATAAGGATGACCAAGGCCAAACCTCGGCAAATGCATGCGAAAAAAAATTCTCCCAAAATGATTTACGGTTACCGTATGCTTGATATGTAGTGAACAGTCTCGATAATAAGTTTGAAAAATATGACAGAAGATGAGTGGAGACTTACCGAGCCATGATTTTTCCTCTTGAGAGATAAAGAACTCTTTGCTATTTTCAAGTTGAGGTAGCAGAATTGCGGAAAAACCTTGACCCATACCCGTAGCAATATTGATTGAATTAACTATTATCACAGCCAGCAACTGTTCAAACAAAATAAACCAGATCAGTTAGAGTTGTATCCATTGACCATTGCAATATTTAAACGTTATTGTTCAGTGTAGTTAACGACAAAAACTGAATAAGCCCAATCGTTAACTTGATAATTATTGTACAAGTTCCTGTAGATTTAGAGGTAGGATCAGAATTTAACTGATCTAATTCCTACGTGGAATAATCAAATCGATTTGCGTATGTCGATGGTATCGACAAAAAGTAGTAGGCGAAGAGGCTTACAAGTTGGAGGGTTTGACGTTAATACATCGATGCACATGGAGGAGGTACTCACGTCCTCGTGACTTCCCCATAACTTTAAAATGTTTGAATGTTATCAGTACTTTAAAAGTTCAAGATGCAAGTACACCCAGAGTGGGCCGGTTGACGAGGAGTATTGAGAAATCACGAGACGTGATCTCTGTTTAAAATTTTATGGGAAAAAAGTTAGAAATTTTTAACACCATCCCTGATTAGAATTGCCATATATCGCTAGTATACTATGATAATCACTGTGACATAACTATCGGCCGAATTTTCGTGAGAAATTTGGAGAATTTGCTCAGACTGGACGTAAAGTGAATGGGGATGGGGTTCACACCCCCGCACCTGAAAGATGGTGTCAAATTCGATAGAAAAAGCCTAGATGGCAAATTGGACTCTCGTAATTGACTCATAATTGGAAAAACTTCATGAATGACACAACAGTAAGTCCACTGAAACTCCTGCCTCATGGAAAATAACGAAAAATTAACGACCGTTTGAATGGTCATTTAAAAGTAATTTTCAAATTTCGTAACGTAGCACAACTTAGTATTCATGGAACTTTCCTATCTCCTCTTGTGCGTGGTGCCTCACCAAGAAAATGAGTGACTATGCGTATTGCACCCTATGCATTTGATAAATGAATAAAATTATGCCGGTGATGCTTACTTTTTCTTTCATTTACTTCTGCTAGAATTTACTTCTGCTATTCTAGCAGAAATAAGTTCTTTACCAGAAAACGTAAACGATGTTTCGCAACATTGCAATGCAATTAAGTTCCTCTGGCCCTTCGTTCCCCTTTCATCGTAGAGCTTTTCCCCACATAATCAAGGAGGTTTTGGACGAATCGTGTTTTAATTTTGGCGCAAAATATTCTGAGCTTGGATCACTAAAAGCTCACATACACTGAAAAAAAATTGGTAGAATTTACTATTTCTTCACGCTGTATTCCACACAGCGTCAATTCAGAGTCAATTCTGCCAGAAGAAAGGTACATGGAACTATATACTGGTACAGGCAACCATTCCTCTGGCAGAATCGACATGAAGATTGGTAGAATTTACCAAAATCTTTTTTTCAGTGTACGTTCCCTGCACGTTCAGAAAATTTTATGGCAACATGTGAGCCCTTAGAGTACGGTTGATTGGACTGGAGCCGCTCATTTACTGGATTGTACCTTTTTGAGTACGCGCGTGACACCTGATAGATATTTGATGTCTCACTTGAACCCTCCGCACACTTTGCGTGCACGTTTTTTCATGACACTCCATCGCGTACGGAGATAATCAGGGCAAGGTAACAAAAAATCGAAAACATCGCTTGCCTGACAAAAGAACGTAAGTGCTTTTAGAGATAAGCCCGGGAAAGAATTGAGTTATATGGACAAAAGGGTTCATTGCGGAAGTGCAGTTGTGTTCTTTTGTCGGGAGGGCGACAATCCTCCACGATTGCCTGTCAATGAATTGCATGCGCGAAATTTCGCTCGTAAAACTAGTTCAAATTATTCGCGTGAAAAATTCGCAATCTCCTGCCGTGAGAAATTTCTCGAAACGACGATGCTCGATATTGGATTTGAGCTGAGCTTACCAGCGAGGAATTAAAACTCGTGTGCACGTGTGTAAAATAAAAATACGTATATGATTGTCAAGGAATATCAAGGAAAAGTCCATTCCCACTTAAGCATGAAAAGCTCGGTCCTTTTCCGTCAAACTCGGTCTATTTAAAGTCATGGTTGGAGCCCATTTTGAGCTTAGGAACTATAATCTCGGGCTCAGTTTAGAAACAACGTATGTACCATTAGTTTCCTTACGTAAATTCATGTTTTTACTGATGAGCTGGAAAGCGTTTTTAATTTTTAATTGCAAAATAAATTCCAGTTGAGACTGATATAAATAAATCAGTTACTCGTTACGCGGAATCATGTTCTGATGGTTGAATCCTGTTGATCAGCAGAACAAAAAGTAGGATTAGTCAAAACGCCAAGTTCTCCCGGGCAGAGTCGACAGAGATATTTTCCATTTGAAAACATCCTCAGAAATTTTGATAAAATCGGATAAAAATTATTTTTATCGGGTTATCATCTAGCAATGAACCGTCTCCAATGGAAAACTAATGCCCTGTAGTTAGATTTTCAGAGTAGCATGTGGACTGCATTTTGCGACGAGGAGACACAATTTCTGACCCATCCGGAGAAGCAACCATTTAATTAGGACACTAATGGAGCAACTGTCATTTCTACCATTGACCAGTAGTGATTTTTTTCACTGCAAAATGTAGTCCATATATGACAAACGGGTTTAATGTGCACTACCAATATCTTCTAACGCATACTATGTCTGCAAATTCCTTAGTGTCAGCAATTATAATGTATAGTTTGAGTTGCAACTACATATCATGAGCAGTGAGCTGGAACCCCCACTCACAGTACCAAAAATGCCAAAAAATGTCATGTTCTACGATTTTTCTGAAATTTTGACCCTCTGACACCCCCCCCCCCCCCCCCC